AGCGGTGGGTGGTGATGACTAGCTGCCTTCCCTCTTGTCTTACACTGCTAAATTAAGGACGGCTAGCGAAGATAGCCCTCGTGTAGCTTTGCGCGAAATTCAAAACAAACCAAACTATATGATAAAAACCTCATATTTCTTTGTGTTGATATGTGAAGAATGACACGAGAACACAACTTTAAGGTATGTAAAAGTTGGCGAGACTCCAGTTAAAAGTTTCATTTTTTTAACATGGTAATTAGCTTAAGGAACGTGATGCCATAGGCAGGAACGTCGAGAGCCAGCACGGGCCCCTTTCTCTCTCTCTATCTCTCTTTTTTTAACATTTTCAAGAATTTATTAAAAAGAAGATCCTAAATTAGGACAGCAACGAGCTCATAAACTAGACAACAAAATCATAGCAGCAGCCATTTTTACCTCACAGTATAAGCGTAAGAACATTAATAAAGTAACAACAAATATCTATTAAATCTATAAAGTAACAAATACATATTAATTATTACTCAAATTATTATTTCAGTCGTTCTTAATGTATCAAACGTCTATATGCAAAGAAAAACCAAAAACTATGGTTTTTTTATCATTAAATGAAGATATAGCCTAAAGATGCTTTGCGGACTTTACGGCATAACCAGTTATCATTCGCCCGGGCCCCTGGGCAGTTCCCCCTTTGCCCCCCCCCCTTCGTCAGCGGGCCTGGCCATAGGCAAGAAGTGTAAGCCTTATAATAAGGAGGGGAAATGGTGATTTTCTTAAAAAGTAGAGTTTAATTTGTACTTTTATTTTCTTGGGGGGTGAATATGCAGGAACATCCTGGAACTTGAAGGACAAAGTGATCTCTTGCTTTCAGTATAGTATGTAATTACTTACATTAACTAGCACAACTGTTAACGAGAAATACTGTCTTTACGTTTACCAAGTTCATTAAATAGTATCGACTTTCAGCAACACTCGTAAAAAAACAGTTGCAAATAATCAAGGCTGGAATTCTGCTGCCGGTACTCGCTGATACTGCGTACCGGAACTTATTTTTATGGCAGTACTAGTACCGGACTTGCCCCAAGTGGCACAGCGGTATATATCTACGGACTTACAATGCTTAGAATCCGGGTTTCGATACCCGTGGTGGGCAGAGCACAGATAGCCCATTGTGTAGCTTTGTGCTTAATTACAAATAAACAAGTACCGGACTTATTTGAGTTGCTTTTTCGTTTTTTTATGTTTACACGTAAATTTTTTTTTCTCTTTTTCAAAAACGGATCCACTTCACCCAGCTGAGTACCTCTACTTTTGTTTTGAGAATTTCACCCCTGCAAATAATGATCAAGAAATACGTATATTACAGGACTGATCAATGGATTTTAAACGTTAAAATTAGCTCATGCTATAGTAGCTCCCAGAAGATGTCACAAATTGATATAAGGCCCGGCATGGCCAGGTGGTTAGGGCACTCGACTCGCAATCTGCGGGTCGCGGGTTCGAATCCCTGTCACACCAAACATGCTCGCCCTTTCAGCCGTGGGGGCGTTATAATGTGACGGTCAATCCCACTATTCGTTGGTAAAAGCGTAGCCCAAGAGTTGGCGGTGGGTGGTGATGACTAGCTGCCTTCCCTCTAGTCTTACACTGCTAAATTAGGGACGGCTAGCGCAGATAGCCCTCGTATAGCTTTGCGCGAAATTCAAAACAAACAAACAAACAAAGTGATATCTGCAGGTGAAAAAAAAAGACACGCAACATTACAATAATACAGAAAAATCTTCACTGACAAGGACCTGTCTCCTAGTAGCTCAGTGGTACATCTGAAGGCTCGTACCTCTAAAAATAGGGTCTCGGTACCCGTGGTAGGCAGAGCATAGATAGCTCATTGTGTAGCTTTGCACTTAACAACAACAAAAAAAACAACAAACGTAGATTTTTCTACCCAAAGATGCAATTTCAACTGGTTATGCTTGAAAAACGAAAAAAATTAATTATTTCTAATATTACTATTTGATAGACTAAAAGCTGGTAAACGGGAAGCTAAATTTGTTTCTGAAAATTGTAATAGTTTTAACTTCTTTCCAGAAAGTCAATTTCAATGGACACAATCTGTATCTTAATTAACTGAAAAAACATGCTCATGTTACGGATATTAACATCTTTGTTACTTTTCTTGACGCTCCTCGATGGCACAGCGGTATGTCTGCGAAATTACAATGCTAGAATCCTGGTTTCGATTCCGGTGGGGAGCATAGCACAGATAGCCCATTATATAGCCTTGTGCTTAATTATAAACACACATTTCTTGACATTTCGTTTTGAAGAATTACGGTTGAAAATCATCATGTGACCCAAAAGGTCCTAAATGTTTCAATTATGCAAGAATTCCTACCACACGAGCTGCTAAAACTCTGCAATAAGAATTAAGATTAATTATCAATAGTCTTAGTTATGAGTAACAGGTAAGCTATAAAAATATTCTATGGCTAATCTGCCAAATATCATTAGTTGGGTATTCTCGCTACTGGCGGTGTTTTCGGCCATTAACCCAAGAACACTCGACAAGGTTGTACTGTTTACCGATATTACTAAGTACCAAAGCTTCATGTCTGTCACATTTGACCAGTGTAGTTATTACTAATTAAGAAATTCGATGTTATATGTTAATATAGCTAATACCTAATAAAGCTCAAACATATACCGAATTATTTAAATTTAATACTGTACATTACTATAAAGATATGCAAAACGTACGTCTTAGTCGTTAAATGGATTTTCTAGCTATATATATCCATAGAACAAAAGCTCAGCTTGTGTGAATATATAACTAAGTAAAAAATTAATTTTATTTACCACCAAACTTAAAAAAATTAATTCAGTATAACTTATGTTGGAGTTGAATAAAACGATAACTTTGAAACGGTGTACTGGTTAGGTTATGTAAACAATGACAAAGAAAGTGCGTAATGCGTACCTGTTATGTTAATTTATTTTCATAATATTTTCACTGGAAATTGTATGAAAAGAGGCGAAAGTGTCAGTGTTATACATTTCACTTTAAAATAAATTGTATTTACCACATATTTTTTTTAAATGCTGTGTGTAATTTGTTGAAAGAAAACCTATACTCAAAAGTTTATGTGTTAGTGTTCGAACTCTGTCTATAAAATCTTTCAAATTACAACAAATTATTGCATATCTAATGAGTTACGATAAATAAACCTAATAGCATATTTCCTATTTCCTTTTAAATGTTTTTTTTTATGGAAATGGGAAATTTATAACAAAGTCTTCTATTTGAAATCTTGACGGAAAAATCTTTGATTACTAACACTAATGTGATAAATCGGGAGTATTGGAAAAGTGCCTCGTGTGCAAATGATAGTTAATTTTTATTTAGCAAATAAAAACGTACATAAAAACCTCAGTGAGTCAACAGCAAATTTACAGTTAGCCCATTGTGTAGCTTTGTATGGAAAAACAAACGTAACTAAAGTTGACTAGCTACCTTCTCTCTAGTCTGTCACTTCTAAATTAGTGTACCAAGTGAGCAGAGCACAGATAGCCCATTGCGTAGTTTTGGACTCTACAACAAACGTATTTATATAGTAGCTGGAGTACCCATCACCTGGGTGGAATTATAAGTTGCTTCCCTTATATGTAATTGTAAAAAAATTCAAAAACAACCCATAAAAACTGCAAAATACAAGTTTGCATGTATCTCCACATGGACCTAATGAGGGCTTTAAATATGTTGTTTCGTAATTTATGTTTGTTTTTGAATGTCGCGCAAAGCTACACGAGGGTTATCTGCGCTAGCCGTCCCTAATTTAGCAGTGTAAGACTAGAGGGAAGGCAGATAGTCATCACCACCCACCGCCAACTCTTGGGCTACTCTTTTACCAACGAATAGTGGGAGTGACCGTCACATTATAACGCCCCCACGGCTGAAAGGGCGAGCATGTTTGGTGTGACAGGGATTCGAACCTGCGACCCTCAGATTGCGAGTGTAGTGCCTTAACCACCTGGCCATGCCGGGCGAGCAGTTTACGACACTCTTAACATCTACTTTGAAAATAAATGTCACACATATAGTTTATTCTGAGAAAGTAGTACATAATCATTCTTACTTGAAACTGATACTTATTTATTAGTTTGGTTTGTATTTTTGCAGAAATTTGGGCTATTTCATCTGCGTTACTCTTTAACTCAATATAGTATTCAGTAATCCTATTTACACAAATTTGTGACTTTCATCCAAATTGTGCCCTCAGTTTGCAGGCTTACGACGCAAAAAACGTGGTTTCAATACCGGTGGTGGGCAAAGTACAGATAGCCAATTGTGTAACTTTGTGCTTAACAACAACCAAAGCAAACAAATCATCCAAATTCTTGGTATTGGTGGCCTTCTTTATTTAATGTCCCCCTGTGGGTCAGCGATAAATCTGAGGCCTATAACGCTAAAATTCTGGGTTCTATACCCGCGGTAAGCAGTACACAGTTAGTCCATTGTAATGATTTGTATTGCTTTGTGCTTAACACCAAACAAAATCGTTATTTAAGATACAGATTTTAAGCAACTTCTTGAAACTGTTTCAAAGTTTTGTGCTGAAAATTTCACCCTTAATATGTTGTCTTTCAAAATGTGTAGCGCATAATGGAGGGATTTACACACAAAAAAAGTTATAAAAACAACCTTTATGCTTTAGATAACTATTAAAAAAAACCGTTTTATTTTAACCAACGTTTCGCCTTTGCGGCTTCATCAGTGTTAATACATACAACTGCTTGATATTAGAAACGGTGGTTAAAATGTTAACAAAATTCTTTTATAATTATCTGGAGTATAAAGGGCGTTTTTTTTCTAACCTTTTTATCAAAATTAATATAACGTTGTTGTAATATAAGTATGTTTATTTACCATAATAAAACTAATAGCTTATAGCAGCCAATTTTTTAATACTTTGGTTTGCTTATTTGAACTTACAAATAATATTTGAAATTACTTTAAAAACATCGCCCTCTAAGTAAAGCATGGTGGAAAAAATTCAATTAATGGTGAATCTGTATATCTGATGTTTAACTTTAAACTTATAATTGCATGTTTACTTTCGGTTCTTTGCTTATCTTGAGAAGAAAATACCTCAGAAAACAAGTAAGTTACACTTCTTTATTTCTGTAGAAAGTTTAATAACATAAATGATACCTAATTAAATTGACCAGGATTCAGTGATGTAGTTGGTTATTTTATTTTGAAATTAAATATTCAAAAAACCAATACTAATGATAATATATATATATATATGTGTGTGTACTAGCACTAGCAGAGATCCGCAAAACATTTGCGGCCAAATTAGTATCTTTATAACTTATAAGTTTATTACAACAGTACTTCTTTAAATACAGGATTTCTAGAGTAATTCAAAATAATTCTAATCGCAGACACTGAAATCTATAACATAACTATAAGTCCACTAGTCTTAGTCCTAACATTAGTTAAGCCTTTATTAAGTACGGCCTATGTTCGATAAAGAGATAACACTGTAAATTGTATACGTTTTTTGCTTTAGTTCAATTAGGGTTAAACCTTACGCATTTAGTACTATCAATAAATAATCTTCCAATATTACTGTACGACCTAACGTTAGACCTTTCTAAAAACTTTGATAAGCTATTAATATAATGCTGTATAAAATGTATAGACACTTGGGTATATTTACGTCCTTTTTGGCGTAACTCGACAATTTAACAAAGATACGTTTTCAAATTTCGAAAAAGGTGCAATTTGTTGTACATTTTAGTCCAAATATATATTTAATTTTCGATCAGTCGTAGTCTACTCGCTTCTAATTGACAGGAAGCCAAACAACTTAAATTACATAAGTTGCTGTGACAGACAGACACACATTCTGTTTTATAGTATTAGAATATATATATATATTGCTTGTCACTTTAGGCCTATCAGTATCAATGCTATAAATTACTGTTATTTAGATTAAGATTACTAATCTATGTACAAGTTAAAACTTTAATACTGTATAGACCTACCTCTTGTCCATATTACTTGTATTTGTAAGTTGTAGATTTAATGAAGTATTATTAATATTAAGTCTAGTTTCACCCTTTTTTGTAATTTTACTGTTGCTAAGCTACATTTATGTTTCTTTGTACTTCAGTGAATAGGCAAAGACAATGTTTTTTTTATATTTCAGTTGCTTGCAAGAACGATGAAATTTTCTGTACTTCAGCAGGGACCTGATGAGAGTCGATTAGGAAACCTAAGTGAATTATGGAAAGATTCAGAAAAAATTGGAGACTTTCAAACACCCCTCTGTTTACTTTACTCAAGAGCTGGAAGTATTCCACACTTAACCAATGAAGTTTTACAGTATTTGAACAAACCAATAATTCCAGTTGTGTTCCCACTTCCATCAATAGTTGGTTTAATTGAGCCAGCAAAAAAGTATGGGCACGGTATTGGAAAATTTGTGGGACTTGAAGAATACCCAGTTTACATATCTGTTCAAGACCCAGTCGAACCAGCACCATCAGGGTACAATGATAAGTCTGGCATTTCAGTATGGAGCACTGGAGGAAGAGTTCGTCTTAATGTGGACCAGTTTATGGCAGCCGTAGAATCATTTCGGCCTGCTTTTTATCAAGTACTCTGTGATAGTGATACACCACAAGATTCATCCAGAAAACGATTGACACATTCTGTTGAAAGATCACTCGTACATTTAGATAAGTGTTTAGAAAAACATCTGAGGTCTGATAAATTAAAAAATACGGCAGTTTTTGGTTCTGTGGTTGGAGGATTTTCTCCCGATGCTAGGAAAAAGTCTGCAATGCAGACAGTTCTAAGACCCGTTGATGGCTTTGTTATCGATGGATTCCACTGGAATAACTCGGACCTAGGTCTTTTGAATACGTTCGAACAAATGTTGCCAATACTGAAAGAAACAGTTACACTTTTACCTTCAGATAAGCCAAGAGTTTTACATGGTGTATTACCACCTGATATGATCCTCGAAGCAATAAAATGTGGCATTGATCTGTTTGATGCATCCTATGCATTTGCTGTGACTGAACGCGGAGGAGCTCTTATGGTCCCCGTCAGTATAGGTAATTCACCTGGAAACATTTTAATAAAGGATGGGTTGAAGCCACTGAATTCCCATTTCAAATACGAAATTGATTTGAAAAATGAAATTTATCGAGAAGATTTCTCCCCTATTTTGGAAGGCTGTGCATGCTATACATGCCGTCAGTTCTCCAAGGCATATATACATCATTTATTAAATACATCTGAGATGTTGGCATTCGTGTTGTTGATGCTTCACAATTTACATAATTTTTTAAGTTTTTTTTCAATTATTAGAGAATTGATATCTAAAGGAGAATTAGATAAATTACAGTTTTAAGTAAGTTTTTATTCCACAGACTCGTTTTAAATTATTATGTAACACTATTAATGTGAAAATATAATGGCAAAATTTTATTAAAAATCATTGTAGTACAATCAATAAGAACTCATCGTGAAATGCTTATTTTCTAATCAAAGACATCCATTTTAATGCCATAATCAATTTAACATCCATATTTTTTATTGATTCTATGCTCTGTGTTTACCTGTGTATGTGTTAGCTGTTTCATTTGTGTATTACTTGAGATAAACAGTTGGAGGATGGTGCCTCTGTCACCTAAATATGATATACTTTTAGTCAGAATCACAGTCAAGACAAAGAACAATGAAGAGAATGTATTTAACCATTAGTAGGTTAAGACAATTGACTTGCAATCTGAAGGTTTCAGATTCGAATCCCCTTCCAACCAAACATGCTCGTACTTTTAGCTGTGGAGGTGTTATAATTTGATGGTCAATCCTACTATTTGTTAGTAAAAGAGTAGCCCAAGAGTTTGCAGTGGGTAGTGTTGACCAGCTGCCTTCTCTCTCTTGTCTATCTCTGTTAAATCAGGGACGGCTAATACAGGTAGCCCTCGTGTAGCTTTGCATAAAATTCAAAACAAACGATACAGTTAACCATTATTGCACATTATTTTTTTGAAGCTTAAAGATCAAAATCTTGCATTACTTAACAAAAACGATAAACCTCACCTGCACAACTCTATCTCGGACAAGACCATCTAGTAGACTACCTCACCTTAAAAATGCTACTCGTGTCTAGTATATGACTTTTAATTACTTGGAAGACTGAAAAACTTTTCATTTTTAATCATTTGTTCATACAAATGGTTGTGAAGATATAGATTATACAATATTTTAGTTGTTTGATATGAAAAACCTTATGTCAAATAATAGTTTTTTGCACTGGACTTGAACAGAAAATGCTGATATCTGGCAACCAAGTATCAGATCGAAAATGTCGAAGATTGCAATATTTTATTTGTACATAAGATTGTGAGGAATTAATTTAGCATTATTTCTTTCTACAGATACAGGTGTCTGTTAGCACATAATCATTACACACTTATCACTCACGCATAACTTCATTAATAATAAGTTTCTTACTTGTATTCACCTTGTCTAATCTTAAACTACACTGTATGATGTAACTCAAGAATCACTATATTAGTTGTACAAGGTGTTTGATTGGTTTGTGTTAGTATTGTAAATGTGACAAGTATATAAGCACTTCACTGCCAAGTTGGGAAAAGGTTTTTTGTTAGTAATACTGTTTACACAGTCAACCAGTGCTTTATCGGATTCATTGATTAGCATGTGAACGTCAAAAATATGTAACTTAGAACACAAACAAAGATGACATAAATACACTTTTCATGCGCATCAAATTTATCCATTTTGCATGCTGTGTAACTGTGCAATAAAATGTGAACAGAGAGAGCCAATGCGTTCTAGTTAAATTGAAAGACTGCTCTCTGGTTCTCTGCCTTGTAAGCACAGCTTTGTAGTTTTAAATAAGGGACATTATTTAAATAGATTTAAAACATAAAGTTTAACTTTAAATTTTTGAGTGTATAAAATTTACATTTAAATTCAGAAAAAAGTTGAATTACTGAATAAATTTTGTAGATTATGGAGAAGAATATGATTTTTGAACTTTGGACAGTCTCATAGGATACGTATTTTCAGTTTTTAAAGGGAGGTGTATAAAATGTCGAAACTTTGAATCTAATATTGTGAAACAAGCAAAGGTGGCATATAAATAACCTTGTATAATTTGAGACTAATCTTTGCAAATATTCTATACCAAAAAAAGTTGTCAATGCTTTACAAAAGAAACCAACAGGTTGGTTCAATTATCAATCTGATTTTGATAAGCTTAGTTATAAAGCCATGAAGATGTTGGAGGTAAGGAAACAGGATCCAAAACCACTTCCTATTTGGCAAATTTGTCAGCTGGTTCACAACTGGGATTTCCTAATGATCCAAAATCCTTATTAACCATTTTCAAAAATACTTTAATGTAACAAACCTATTTAAACTGCAATGCATGCAAAAAATTAAAAAGATAATACAGTTAACTTTCGTTATGGTCCATTATGTGATAGTCAGTCAAAAATAGGTCAGTTGTTACAACCTAAGGTTTATAAACTTTCACGTAATCAGGGAAAATGGAAACTGTTAGTGTGGTTTCACAATTATAGCCACGCTTAAACTACTACCAATTGGATCTGTAAAAGATATGGAATGAGTTAAAAGAAGCCAATTGTTTCCACATCCAAAAAACAAAGACAAGATTGGAAAGTTGACCAAAGGGGAATAAAGAAACTAAGCTATCCACATAAACAACTAGAAACTGGCAGGGGACCATTCTTAGCCCTCATTTAAAAATAAAATTTAAAATCCTGGAGACTAAGTCAGTTGAATCAAACCACCAATAAAAGTGAAGATTATTAGTGTTTTAACACTTAAGAACAGATTGTGTCGGTCTTTTGGGAAAACGTCTACGGACTGACGAAAAGTGAGAGAAATTATCAACATGTAACCAAAAGAGAATTATAAATCTCAAACTGCATAGTACCAAAAGCTTCAGACAACAAAAAAACTTGGAACAGCAGGTTGAATTGTGTGGGAAAGCTGTTGCACATAATGGAATCAAAACCAAATTGAAATAATATTAAGTTCCTAAAAATAATGAAATACCCTACTTTTAAACTATAGTATGGTATCCCATAATCCCTAGATCACCTACATCAACAACTATTCCATATAACATGTACAAGGGAAAGAACCCCCAACTCATACAAACAAGTATCTATGTCACCCCTTGAAATAGGATTACCCCACCCAAGGGACTAAACATGGTCAAGGTGATACAAGCATCTATGGGATAGTCATTGTAGTATGTAACCTTTACCTAAACATGGCTTTTAAGTTCATGTTTCGACCTTTGTACATCAAATTTACCAAGAATTCACTAATTTCATGTAAAATACCTGCATGAAAACGTTTCTCAATATAGCTAAATGAGGAGATGTTCTACACCTTGGGCCGTACATCAGGAAGGTGGCAAAGAGGGTCAAATTCATGTTCAAAAGTCCTTAGGAAATAATTTTATTTTTATGGGTCAAACTAAGGTGTAAAATACCATAAGAATGTACAAAAAGAGGGTTGGTAAAGCACCACGTTTAATTGTTAAAGGTTATCATTATTTGAACACAGAAGTAGGCTTAGCCACATCTAACAAATTTGTAACATGTACACAGTGTTATTCAATAGTAAGAAGTATCCCAAAACACATTTTTTCTTGTGTCTGTTGTAGCACAGGAGTTGTAAAGGAGGATCTTACTAAAACTAATTAATTCTCTTTTGTTCTTTTGCTAAATAAACCATAAATATTAAATAAATCTAACAGAATTCATATCATTACTTCATTGTTAATACTTATGATATTTATTGTGTGTAAATGTCCCTAAAAATGTGTTTAATGTAATTAACCATAAAGTAAACTCACTGATATCCACCAAGTACAAACATGTAAATACGGGAGTTTAAGATACTTAACTTCCTACATAGGATGTATAAAAACCCTACACGTCCTGAAATGACACATGAAACCCAACAGTTCCAGAGAAGGGGTTAGAAAAATACATACTCACAAAATCATTTTTAAGAATTTGTAACAAATGTGTACCCCATAAAAAAATATAAAGTTAATGGTCCACTTACTACACTAGATATAGTGATATTTATCTCACTGGGGATCGTTTATGCTTTAACTGTGATTGTTATGTGGGTATAAATGTCTGCTAATATAAATAGCCCTCATGTAGCTTTGCTCGAAATTCAAAATAAATACTTTAGGTTCCATCTCTCTTCAACTGTTATTAATATATTGAAACAAATTATTGTGTAGTTTCTATAAAATACTTTAGGGTGGCCCGGCATAGCCAGATGGTTAGGGAGTTAGACTCGCAATCTGCAGGTCGCAGGTTCGATTCCCCGTCCCACCAAACATGCTCGCCCTTTCAGCTGTGGGGGCATTATAATGTGACAGTCAATCCCACTAGTTGTTGGTAAAAGAGTAGCCCAAGAGTTGGTGGCGGGTGGTGATGACTAGCTGCCTTCCCTCTAGTC